ATATTGAAACATCTAGGAGACCTTTAGATTTCCTAATAGTAACAAAAGAACATCCCTCCTAAGAAGAGATGTGTGGTTTGGTGCACATGTTGAAAAAGTTATTCCGTAAAATGAGAATAATAGTCTGACTTTACATATCAATCGATCTTTTCCTGGGAAAGAACCCCATTTTTTGTTCTTTTCTGTGGTAGCATGTGGCTTCCAGTAGGGGTCGCTTTAGTCAACCCAGAGAATGAGCGTAACTCAGATCCAGTGTATGGCGCCTCAAGTGGCTCTCACAGGGCGCTTCCCTGCGTTTCTAGTGGCAGAAGAAAGGCAGTGCACACAACGAAAAACTAATAAATTGGCAAACCAAGGGGCGTGCCTCGCATTTTTTATTCTATCACGCTCCTTCCTCCAATTGTGAGCTAAGATGCTGAATCTGACGGGCAGGGGAAGGAAGGAGGGACCTGGGAACTGCGAGCGGAAGCTATACCTATATTGGACAGGATAGCAACCTGCTGGTGTTCAGGTGGCCTTTTCTACACAGCGACCTTGTTTTGCTACTGTTCTTACACTGGGAAGTGACAGGGGTCTAGGGATCAGAACAGGGAAGGAACTTACAAGTATTTACACGGTTGACTGCTTCATCTCAACCATTTTCCTTTACATAATTCAACTGCTTTAATAGAACTTTCCCAAGGAGAAAGTCATACTTACAAATCCAATACACCAAACTTACAAATGTTCGTGTGGACAAAAAGGGGGCCGCAGACTAAACTGACAAGCCCAGGGGAGGCCCTCATGGCGGGCCTTACAAACTCGGAGACCGAAAGTAACTGCACAGGATGGTCTGAATGAAAAATCCCCAACTACAAGCAAGTCATGGCGGGTAGTCAAGGACTAGGCCTGTAGCCTCCTCGACAAAGGCTAATTTTTGCCTGTGTATTATCTTTTTGCATCTAAGATACCATCCCTTTGGAATGTCAGAGTAATCTTTTTCAGACCCCTTAAGGCACAACCTCCTGCCGTCAAGTACGAGGCCACGGAGCCCCTCCTTGTCATCTTATTGCGAAGTACTCACTTGTGGCCTGGGTTCCTTTGCAGCGCAGGCCACCTTAAGCGAAATACAGCACATGTGTTCCAGCAGGATGCAGGGGTCTATGAAAAGGAATTTCAAGAAAGAACCCAGATGGAAAGAGCCCTACGATGTTCTCCTGACCATCCTTGAAGATACAGGATGACAAGCCACAACTACATCAAAACAAATAGCAAACAAGGTAAATCTGGATGCAATTCATAGAGGCCACCAAAGCCCTGTGGCAGCTTTAGCCGAGAAAAGACAGGGAGTTACTGTCTGATATTCAAGAAGGACTGAGTGAAAACCACAAAGAAGTTTTATAGAATTGTGTGGCCATGTCAGAAAAACAAACCCAGGTCCAGTGTGTCAAGAGGGAGACTGCTGAGCTAATGCTATAGGATTCTTAAGTCTTTACCTTGTTTACCACCACAGTTTACCGTGCATGTCAGGAAGGGCTTTCTTCCCTGTCCCTTTCTACCATCGCTCTCTTGAATGTCTTTTGCCATGGCGACCCATGACTACCCAGTAGTTGGCACACAGCAGATTTTAGCATTGTCTCTCAAGTTCCCTATTGCTTCATATTCCACCATTGGGACACAGTGTGCCAGATGCTATAAGAATTTCCCCCTCCTAAAGACTACCTAAGCACAGCTCTTCCCTGACATCCCACGTGTGTTGGTCGGCTGCTTGGGAAGCTAGAGAACTCTTTACCTTGAGGAACATTTGGTTTTATGCCCTTTTCTAGCTCTAAGCCTTGGAATTCGGATGTTTGAACTTGAGAGGCCCACTGTAAAGCCAGTGGGGATTCTAGAGCGAGGCCCAATGCAACGAGGTATGCCGTTGGGGCTCCACAAAGCGAGAAGCTGGCTTTTGCCTCTTTACGTGAAGAATGAAATACCTCATGAACTTTAACTATGGTTCCAAGCAGATAGAAAAAGATACACGTAAAACTGAAGAAGAATCCCAGGTTCTCTTTGTAAGAGAGAAATAATCCTTCAATTGGTACAGGTAGATCTTAGACATTGGTGAGAAAGTATTAAAAGTTAATAATTACAAGTTATTGATTGCAAGGTGAACTCTATGCATTCACTGTGCTACTTAGGGTTTGCATGACTATGTGAAATTAGTTATAGTCTGAAAGGACATATTTATAGTCTACTAAGTATATACTATAGATGGTACATCTGTCAGAGGGAGGATACAAGAGGAAAGCAGCCACTGTCCCCAGAATTTCATGTCATTCATTCTGAAAGTTAAACTCTGAAGTAGCAGAAATCCTTAATGTTTGACTCTCTGCAGAGAAACTGTGGCACTCCTTATATATCTTCAGCGTTTTACTGGAATAAACTATGACCTTTTTCAAAATATACATTACCAGGCACCCCCTTTTAAATAGCTTTCTGAAGTATGCTAACATAGCTTCATCAACCATAGACCTAAATGTAAAACCTAACTTTATAAAATTTGTAGAAGAAAACATAGGAGATAATCTGTGTGGCCTTGGGGTAAGCAAAGATTTCTTAGCTAAGACACAAAAAGCACAGTTCATTAAAGAAAATAATTGGTTAGACTTTATAAAAATTAAGAACTATTCTTTAAAAGCCAGTGTTAAGATAATGAAAACACAAGTTGCATACTAGGAGAAAATATTTGCAAATCATGTCCCCGATGAAGGACTTGTATTCAAGATATATAAAGAGCCCTCTATATGCAATAGTTAGAAAAGAGACAGCTGAGTTTTTTAAAATGTTGGCAAAATATTTGAAAAGACACTTCACAAAAGAAGATGGATGGTGAGTAAGCCTATGAAAATATGTTCAATATTAGTTCTTAAGGAAATGCAGATTAAAGCCACAATGAAATACCACTTCAGTCTTACTGGAATGCTAGAAGTAAAGACAGACCATGCCAATCCTTAGGAGAATGTGGAGCAGTTGGAACTCTCAGATTTTGCTGGTGGGGATGCAAAATGGTACAGCCACTTTTGGAAAACAGTTTGCACCGTTTAAGATATACTTACCGTATGACCTAGCCATTCCATTTTATCTGAAGTGAAATGAAAACCGATATTCACACCAAAACCTGCACATGAATGTTTATAGAAACTTTATTTGTAATCACAAAAAACTGGAGACAGACCAACTGTCCCCAACTACAGAGTGGATTAAAAAACTGGTACATCCATAAATATCGTTGGAGGGAATGAAATTTGGTACAGTCAGTTTGAAACACTGTCTGGCAGGATTTACCAAAGTCAAACATACACCCCAGCAACCACACTCCTGGAGACACAGGCCACAGAAATGTGGAATATGTTTGCCAAAAGGCGTACACAGGAGTGTGCAGAGCAGTGGTACCTGCAGTGGCCTTGAAAGAGCCTCACTCCATTTTTACCCTCTCGTTGGACTGTTCCCTTTGTCATTGTGTCATGTCCTTTGTTTCTTACTATAGCCTTGGTTTTAAAGTCTGTTTTGTCGAATATAGGTATTGCTACCCCAGCTTTTTTTCCCTTTCCATTTGCATGATATACCTTTTTCCATTCTGAGGTGGGTGTCCTCGAGGCAGCATAGAGGCCTTGTTTTCTTATCCATTCAGTTACCCTATGTCTTTTGATTGGAGCATGAAAGCCATTTACACTTAAAGTGATTATTGATAGATACATAGTTATTTTTTTATTTTTAACTATTTCCCCCCGTTTTTGTTTTCTTCTTCTTCTTCTTCAAGCAAGCCCTTCAACATTTATTGCAATACTGGTTTGGGGGTAACAAAATCCTTTAGCTTTTTCTTGTCTGGGAAGCTCTTTATTTCTCCTTGAATTATAAATAATAGCCTTGCCAGGTAAAGTGGCCTTGGTTGTAGGTCTTTGCTTTTCATCACCTTGAATATTTCGTGCCAATCCTTCTTGCCCGAAATGTTTCTGTTGAGAAACCAGATGACAGCCTAAAGGGAGCTTTCTTGTAGGTAACTAACTGCTTTTCTCTTGTGGCTTTTAAGATTCTCTCCTTGTCTTTAAGCTTTGCCATTTTAATTATGACATGTCTTGGTGTGGGCCTCGTTGGGTCCGTCTTGTTTGGCACTCTCCCGGGCTGGTGTGTCCTTTTCCATCACCAGGTTAGGGAAGTTTTCAGTCCCTATTTTTCCAAATATGTTCTCCGTCCTTTGCGCATTCTCTTCTCCTGGTATCCCCGTGATGTGGATGCTGTTACTCTTCATGTCCCAAAGGTTCCTTAAACTCTTCTCATTTTTTAAAGTTCTTTTTTTTCTGCTCTGCTTTGGTGTTTGCTTTTTTCCGCCTTGTCTTCTATATCGTTGATTTTATCCTCTGCTTCATCTAACCTACTGCTTAGCCCTTCTAGTGTATTATTTCAAGATATTGCATTCTTTATTTCTGAATGGTCCTTTTTTTATGGTTTCTATGTCTTTCTTGATGCTATTGAGCAACCTTATAATCATTAGTCTAAACTCTATATCTTAAACTCTATATCTGATAAATTGCCTCCATTTCATTTAGTTCTTCTCATGGAGAATTCTCTTGTTCTCTCATTTGAGGCCTGTTTCTTTGTCTTCCCTGCCTGCTTGTGTTTGTTTCTTTGTATTAGGTGGATCTGCAAAGACTCTGGTGCAGGACAATGCCGGATGCTGCCTGGGCAACCTGTTTGGAGCTATCAGTGATCCACAGCATGTGGCTCCCTCTGCTGGGCCTATGTTTGTGCAGAAAGAACCAAGCAGCTCACCAAGGCCTGCTCTTACCAACACCCGCCCTTAGGGAGGGTTAGGCTTCTTCATCAAAAGTGCCTCCTTCTGTACTCCTCGGCAGCTCAGCTTAGGCTTCACAGGGTGGGGCAAGGGAGGTTCCTGTGGGTGGGGCTATTGCCCCCCCTCAGGCTGATGCTGCTTGGAGGGACTGCTCTACCTGATAAAGCCGGCTCCTGCAGTGTGGGGAGTGATGGCCCACAGGGATCCTGGCCGCTGACCCTTCAGCTCTCTCCCCAGAGCCACCAACGCCAGACTCTCCTCACACGGGGCTAGTCCACCCTGCCCTGCCTCTGCTGGAGCCCAGGGTAAGTGGTTGCAAACAAAATTTTGTGCATTGGCCTTTTAAGAAGCTCTCTGTGTCTCTAGCTGTTTCTCCCAGACAGACAGAAACCCCTGCTGCTTTTCACAGCTGGATGTTGCTTGAGTTCCTCTCCTGGTTTTGGTGCTCTAGGCCGTCGAGCTGGTCTTGGGGTTTAGACCCCAAACTTCTCAGGGGGAACCCCCTAGCCACTGAAATACCTCTCTGGAACTTCAGCAGCCGTCCATGGGAGCTCAGCCAGCACTCTCAAGCATTTCCTGCCAGCTTTGATGTGGTGACGTGATTTCTTCCATATGTCCTTGGCTTTAAAGCTTCTGTCCAGCTAGTGTTCAGTTGGTTATTCAGTATGAGTTTTCTATAATTCAGCTGTAATTCTAGTTTGGTCTTGGGAGGAGGTTAATGTAGCTTCCACCTATTCTGCCACCACTTCGGATCTGCCGTCTCCATTTTTGATGTTCCGTCACGGGCAGCCTTCAAGCCCCACCACGTAGTTCAAGCAGGAGTTTATTTGGGAGGTGAAGGAGACACCGGCAGGAGAGCAGGGCAGCGAGGCGGGGAAGGGAGGCTGATAGTAAAGGGGGTCTTATCACACCAGTGACTCCTGTGGGTAGCTGAAGCTCAGTTCCCACTGGAGAAATTCAGGGAAATAGTGTAAAGCACACACCTCAGAGTTTATTCCACCTGAGGGGTAAAGGAAATGGGGTATTTTTGCACCAACTCAACCTAGTCATTGGTTGAGGGCTCTTAGTGGGGCAGGAGCATTATTTCCCTGGAACTGCTGGCATGCTGCATGCATGGGCTGGAGGTAAAACAAGCTGCGTTAGCCAGAGGAAGCTGTCAGACAAAGCAACGTGGGTATCACCAGTTGGAAGGCAACCAGTGTATCCTGGGCAGGGGAGGCCAGGGTGCAGGAGGACCCCCAGCAGCACCTGCTACAGAAGAGATGCCCTTGGATTCTGGAACTTAAGTATACAAGAAAATATGATCGCATTTTCCCAGAACAATCTATTTTCTGTTTTGAGACCCCAACTCCCAGGATATTGGAAAATGTATCTCAGTCACTATGAGGGCCACCCCTCTCCCAGATTGACATCCGTCGCAGGAGATTCAGTCAGTGCCCAGTCCCAGGCAGGTTTTATGCCACCTGGTTCTTGGTGGCTCTCTCCATGTGGGCCTCCACTTAGAGGTGATTTTCTGCTTCCTTCTTGGTCGCCAGCCCTACACATCCACACTCAGTATGGTCCGCTAACGTCCGGCAGCCTACTGAACACTTTGTTTAGTTGCTTCTGTGCTGGGCTAAGGCATGGGATGGGGCGGCCTGTGGCCTTCGCCACCTTAGACTCACCATGTGCCCTTTCTCTCTGCCCCTGAATCCCAGCAACCCCAGGGCTCTGGCCAGGAGGCAAGGCACAGGGTCTCTCTAATGTCTAGGTTGATTCGCTTCCCTCGGGCCTCTCGCCTTCTCCCCAGCCCAGAAATAACCTGTTAGCTTGACACGGGATAGAAAGAGAACTGTAATTTCCTCAAACTCCTGTACTCAAAGAGCAAAGAAAAATTTGAGAGCCTTTCCTGAGGCCAGGCTGTTTGAATGACGGGAACGTCAATGTGGGAAAACATCAGTTAGCATTTCAAAAATACCCCACCGTCCCTGACCAGTACAACATGATCATTCTCCCTTCCACAGAGGCTCTCTCTACTTCCTTCTGCCCTTTATGGTCATTGTAGCATGTGTACAAGGTGAGGGAAATTTGCTATTTTAAACAAGGCAGGGGTTCTTAACTTGGGGACCCATGATATAATTCAGGAAATGCTGAATTTGGATAGAAAGAAAATTCAAATTTTTATTTTGGTTAATAAAAATTAACACCTCCTTCAGTTACGAATATAGGCAACAGAACACAGCAGTATTAGCAGGACATTGTCACAGGTATCTTGAAATATCATTGACACCCATCATTGTCACGATAGCTGTAAGATCTGTTGCTAGATCTTTTTAAGTGTGTTAATAACAGAATGCATATATTACTGTATCATAAAGGTTTTTTAAAAATGTCTTAACTATTTCCGAATAATTTTTTAACTTTTTGTTTTAAAATAAAATCATCTTAAGATAACTGTAGACATGGATTTGCAGGAAATAATACAGTGAGGTCCTCTCTACCTTTCACCCAATTTCCCTAAATGTTATCATCTTGTAAAACCATACAGTACACCACCACAACCAGGAAATGCACAGTGATACAGTCCTTGGAGCATATTCAGGTCTCACCAGTTTGATGTGCACGCATTTGTGCGCATACGTGCGCATACGTATTTAGTGTCATATAATTTCATCACGGGTGTAGCTTTGTGCGACTGCCAGAACAGTCCCATCACTGCGGGGACCCTCCCATGCTATTATTCTTTAATAGCCAGGCTCTTCCCTCCGCTCCCCTCCCGTAGCCCTGTCATTTACAGTCTGTTCTCCGTTTCTACAGTTTTGTAATTTCAAGGATGTCATGTTATAGAACCGACACCCTTTTGAGGTTTGCATATTTTACATGGTAAGTATGTACTCTTTACAGGTTGGTTTTGTTTTCTCATTCCTTTGAGGGCTATCTGAATTGCTGTGTAGATAACAGTGTATTCCTTTCATTCCTGAGATGTGTTCCATGGTAGGCATGTACCAAATTCGTTTAACCATTTGCCCACTGAAGGACATTGGGATGATTTCCAGTTCTGGGCTATAGCTTTTTTAAACATATTTTGTTTTATGTTTTTAAAACCATTATTCTGAGAGGGAACCCAATACTTTGCCATACTGCCCAAGGGATCGCTGGCTCAAAAATTTAGCTCTAAGGCAAGAAATCTGGATCTCCACATTATTCCCTTCTAGCCACAGGACCTGGGTGGGCAAGGGGACAAGAGAAGCAGCACTTTAGAGCTTTGGCCAGGTCTTCTGTGCTGCTGGGCGAGACCTGAGGCGTCCCAGCCGCATCACTGAACTGATCTTTGCTCTAATGCAGGGAGAGGGGCAGAGGAAGAAAGAGAAGGGCCCGGGCACGCGCCAGTCTGAGGCCTGATCATTGCCCCCACCTTGCGGAGTGTCTGCCACACTCACAGATGAGTCATATGAGGGATTTTCAGGAGATAAAGTAGAGTTGCGGGGCTGAGTCCGCAGCTGGATCGGCAGGGGTAAGGAATAGCTGTGGGAGGTGAGCTGTGAGTGGGCTGGAGAATTCAAGGAAGCAGATTCTAAGAACCAGACAACTGTGGTAACATGAGCTCCTAGGGATTTTAGCAAGGCAGTCACTCCCTGCCAGAGGCAAGCCCGTCTCATTCCATGTCAAAGGACAGCATGATCTTAGCTGACACTGAGTTACGGTTGACCTGGCCTGTTGAGAATTTAAAAAATTTGGGTGGAGAAGTCAGGCCTCACACTGTGCTAACCACTTAGCATCCCAGCCCCCTAACGGGGAAGTTTCAGGTGCGATTTGTGCTGTCTCCTGCTTGTTATGCCCTGCCATCTATGGTACTTGGTGGCTTTGACAGGAGTCTGGTGGCCAAGTGCCAAGGAATGGCAGTGGTTAAGAAGCCAGTTGGGAGGGAGCTGCTAGAGGATCAGGGATGTGCAAGAGCCTGCAGGAGGAGACCACAAGCGGTCAGAAGTGAGCCAGCTGCCACTGCACAACCCGGGGAAGAAGGGGTGGGTCTGGGCGTTGACTCCCCGCAGCTGCTCACTCCTCGGGAGAACGGACAGCCAGGCATCCTGTGCGTCCCCGGAGGAACAGCACCACCCGTGACGTATCAAACTTCAATCAGATCAAACTTCCAGCTTTCAATTTCCGTGAAACACAGAGTGCAGAGAAGGGAGTTAAACACCACCAAGGATGCAGTCAGCACGGTCCAGGCTGTGAAGAACTTTACATACAGGATGATCAACCAGTTTCTTCAATAAATAACAAAAGATGGAGGTGGAGCAGGGACTGATAGATTTTTAAAGATTAAAAAAAATATACATCAGCCACTCACAGTGCGTGGACCCTATTTGGATCCTGATTTGAACAAAGACATTTAAGGGAAAGGTTTTTGAGGTCAGTGACTGAATATTCGATGGTATTAAGGAATTTGTGTTAACTTTTCAAAGAGAGCCTGTGGTCAAAGCCCTTATCTTTTAAAGGCACATACTCAAATACTTATAGATTACATGCTATCGTTCCTGGTATTTGCTTCAAAATAACATAGGAAGGGGTAAGTGGGTAGAAGTGTAGGTGAGAAAGATGGGTCACTGGCTGACCGTTGCTGAAGCTGGTGATGAGCACAGAGGAGTCCATCATACTATTCTGATACTTCGGGGCATATGTGTTTGAAAATTGCCACAATAAACAACTTAATAGAACTATTAAACTTACCTGGCGAGGAGAGGGGAACATCTAGATGTGGAAGGGAAGTGCAGTCAGCCAACTGACCGGGGGTCCAGGGCAGGAGTCGGGGCGTCGGGCCCCTGGGCCAGGGACAGACTTTTAGGGCGGGCCTTCTGGATGGACAGACAGGGTGAAAAGGTGAAGGAGTGGTGGTCGGGCAAGGTTTCCAGTTCTGAACTCTTGATTGACAGTCAGGGTTTCAGTTTGAAAGTGTGGAAAGGAAACTCATTTCAGAGGAATGAAATTGATTACAGGAAGCTGGCGACTGGGCCTGTCCATGCCTCCCGCTCACTTCCAGGCTCAGCCGAGACACTGCCAAGGATTTATAAATAGCCTAAGTCAAACCAGTGGACCGCTGAAGTAGTTGTTGGTAAAACTTACTGCGCACACACCAAGGAGACTGTTTGTAAAATGGGAGCACGCAAACCAAAACACGGAATGAAGCGCGGAGGTAGATTGGTATAAAGCTCAGGGGTGGGCTGTTACATACTGAGAAAACAGTGAGTCTTTATTCTTTACAGCAATTGGTTTTAGTAGCAGAATTTTCTTACCTGATAAAAACTTGGTCAGTGGTTACCTCTTG